TTGTGGCACCCACTCCTGCTCGACAAACCCCCAAATGAACCCTGCCACACTTTCCAAAAGTGCGGCTCTGATGACCCCCAAACCGTGTATCAGCAGTCTTAGACCGCTTAGGCGCTGGCTGAGACTATGTCGGTGCCTGAAGCTGCTCCTTCAGCTGCAGTTCTATCTCCTACTCACATCGCCTCATGGATTCCTGAAGGTCCAAGATGGTATCACAACGCTGTGTAGCCACAAACTGTCGTATATCCGTCTTGAGCATAATCAGATAACGAGTCATCTGAGACTACTCTGACAAAACTCTGGGAAAAAAATAGCCCTCTCAGTGAACATCCGGGTGATCTCCATGACAGACTCCCCATCCTGTCTCAAAGTCAGAAACTCCTAGGCAAGCCGCTCCCGTTCCATGCACGGAACGTAGCGGGTGTGAAACATATCCCACAACTGCTCCTAAGTAATAGCAGCCCGCTGATCATCAGGAATATGAACCTGTTTTCAATCTCCACCAGTCCCTTGCCCCGAGCCTAAGCGGGTTCAGAGCACACCTAATCTTCTGGTCAGTAGGACATGAACACGTGAAGAAACAGCCCTCCACATCAGACAACCACCGCATAGCCCTGATCGCATCCTATGTACCATCAAATGTCGAGGGTTTTGTATTATCGAAGTCCCGGTACTGGAAAGCCCTGCCGGCTCCTCCTCCGACCCCTGCTGCAGTTACAGCCGAAGTGGCTGCAACGACAGCTGTCTCTGCTAGACCTGCATATCGCCCATCAAAGTACTCCACCATCATGGTCTTAATCAACCCAAACATCTCTACCAGCTACGCTCAGAACGCAACAGCAATCTCGTCGTGCATGATCTCCCAGATCCTTGCATCCAACTCCTCGGTCCCTATCTGAACCACGGGCTCAGGTGCTACCATCACCTCCAACCCTCCGTCTCCCGAACTCGATCCTGATCCTAATACGGATCCCGAAGCAACACGTCTCGTCACCACCATACTGAGATATATATCTATCTATCTATCTATCTATATATATATATATATATATTATATATATATTATATATATTATATATATATAAAAGTCATCAGATGAATAACATAATTATAACACCGTAAAATTTAAAAAAAAATCACATTTTTAAACACGTTTTACCAGACACATTTAAACAACAAAATCCCATTGTATCATAACTTTGGTTCACAAAATATTTCCCAAGATCAAACTATATAAAAATCCATGCGTGTGTATCATGCCGGCGCCTTCCCGCGATCATCACTAGTACCTGAAACACATAACACATAACACTGTAAGCGTAAAGCTTAGTGAGTTCCTCAAAATACCATACATAACACATACTAGCCACTTGAGGCTATAACACTGTGGGCCCGTGGCCCTAACTTTCTGGACCCTCTGGTCCTAACTCTGTTAACCTTTCGGTTCTAACTTTTATATACTCTGATATTAATCACATAGAAACAATGCAGTACAACACATCACATAATAGCATATGATAACTCTGGCACATAACTCTAATTACCACTCCAGGTAAAGCATAGTGAGAAGACTCACCTCAGATGTCCCGGTAAATCATTGACTCGGTAGAAATACGATCTAGCTTTCGCCTAAACACATAAAGTAATACTCTCATAAATATAACTCTCAGAACTAGACTCCACTCTCTCTACTCACCCTCAGAAGGGTAAAAGACCATTTTAGCCCTCCTTTGGCTCAAAGGCCATCATTGTTGACCAAACATTAAAAGTCAACCAAAGTCAACGGTCAAACTTTCACTCGACTCGGCGAGTGCACTTAGGCAACTCGACGAGTCCACCTATGACCACTTAAGTCCATAGTCTCATTTAACACGTTGAGTCCCTCCCTTTACTCGACGAGTCCCCAGGTAAGAATCGCGGGGCCACCCCGACTCAACTCGTTGAGTCTCAAGAACAACTATGTGAGTACATGCCATGCACAAACTCCATTAGCCTCCTGAGGTCAGATCCATTCCTCTAATCCATAGATCTACCCTTCCCAAGCATAATAATCATGTAAAGTCCAGACCGTGACACCCATATATCATCTAGATGGTTTCATTTGGTGATTTAGCCCCAAAAATGACATTCTAAGCTCATGACTCCTAAGATAATTCATAAAGCTCCAAGGGTTCAGGTTTCTGGACCTCTTTGAGTCCAGATCCAAAGCATAAACTCGATAAGGGACCAGTTTCTCCACATAATCATCCTCAAAAGAGGTTAGAAAACCCTAACTCTAAGAATCAGTACCAAAACTGAAGAAGGTCCTAATAAATACATCAAATTGAAATCTCTGGACTCTGAAACAACTAGAATCACACCTCTTTCAATCTCCTCTTGCTCTTGATCACCTTCTTCTTGCTAAACCAAAGATAGAAGGATCAAATATGGCTTCTCCTTCCTCCCAAACGATCTAGCTCACTTAGGGTGCTCTCAAGGGACTGGTAGCCGCAATGGGAGGCTAAGAGTCCCCTTAAATAGGCTCCAACTGTAACACCGTGATTTTCAAAAAACAAAATTTTCATTTAAATAATCAAATTTAATATTAAAACACTTGGTAAAAATCTTATTCATATTTGAATTACAAAACATAGTTCCATTTTCATTTGCATAGACAACCAGGATCCTCCAAAATACAACTCTTTCTTCGGTGTGTACAATCGAACCGTTGCCATTCCGCGTTACTGAGAAAACCTGAAACAACATAACATAAACACTGTAAGCACGAAGCTTAGTGAGTTCCCCAATATACACCTTACGCACATACGCCTTTCCAGGCCCTGACCTTCCGGTCCACTGCACAATGCCTTCCGGCCCATGAGATAATCGGCTTCCGGCCCATAACGTGTTGCCTTCCGGCCCATAGCATATTTGCCTTCCGGCCCATAAGATAATTGCCTTCCGGCCCATAAGATAATTGCCTTCCGGCCCATAAACATATATAACACATAATACATTTACTCTAACACATAAAGCACATATATCATATATCAACCTGCCTTCCGGCCCGAAACATGCACAGCACATAATACATTTACTCTAATACTTAAAG